AATATCGGTTCATCTATTTGGAAGCCATGATGCAACGCACAAACAGAGAAAAAAATATGTCTCTTTTTGAGATAAGACCATAGTTCCTTCTGATGTGTGCCTTCTGATGTACTAACCTATGAAGTGGTGATAGACATTTTGTCAACACATCATTATTGAGTCAAGTTTCGCTCCACATTCTCGTGAACGACTTAAATCTATCAATTTGGTACTTTGCCAACATCACAACTTAAAATTAATAACGCGCTTCCATCGCCTCTGTTATTTAAGCTTTAAATATGTGGAGCTTAAAAGTATCGCTTCAAAGGTTACAAGTTATTCTGTTTGTTGAATTTATGATATTGAAATTTTGAGGCGATGAACTACCAAGTTCCAAGTAAGTAGTACATATATGGAAATGGTAGTGCAAGGTAGGGGTAGAGGGGGAAGCGGTCGACCGAAGAAGATATGGATGGAGTGTGTGAATGATGATATGAGAGAAAAGAGTAAGTGTTGAGCTGACGACTGATAGAAGAGAATGGAAGAGAAAAAATAGACCCCACCTAGTGGGATAAGGTGGAGAAAAAGAAAAAGAAGAACTACCAAGTACGTGAATGACTAATATGGTATGACTTATATGCAGCCATATACGTCGTTAGTAATGTCAATACCTTTCAAACAGGTCGCTAAACGTGAGCACGCAATATCTCCAATGCTAGGGACCGAGCCAAGTCGCTCCCTACCGCTAAGTACTCTCCGCGAGCCTCGTTTGAAGAAGAATACCCCATGGAATTCATTCCAAAGCTGGATAATACGTGGCAGAGAAGATCTCTGGATCGCCGTGGACGCACGCAGCTAGACCCAGAGTTTCCAAACGATCGGTGAGATTGGGATTATTGATAATATTGGTTTTAATTAATTCTCCTATATTATTAAGCGCTGCGCCTCACTATAGTTGCAATTTGAAGAAGTCCGGCTCTGGCGAATAGTACATATTTGGGCTAATTTAAAATACTTTGTGAAATTGAAACACTATAATAGTTTTAAAAGTTTCCATCCTTGTTTTTCTTGCAAGTCTTTCTTAGTTATGAAATAGCTTTCGAAATTAGCGGTGAAGTCTTGACAAAGCATCTAGAACATCTATTTAAATCAAAACTTTCTGAATTATTCAACAAAAATACAAGAAACGCTTTAACTATTAATGAAGAAGCAAACTAAGCATGATAAATTCATAACTTTTTTGGTTTAGTGTTTTCTTATAAATAATTTTCTTAACAAGTTTCACAATTGACAATAAACAAAGAGTACATTTATATGTATTTGTTGTGACAAATACATGGTAGTGTGTGTAATGTTTTCTTTATTGATTTAATGTATTTTTAATGATTAATTTTTAAAAAAATATTAGCATTCTGCACTACTTCTCTATATTCTCTATAAGTGTGGGAAATTTCATACTTCTCCATCCGCGCAATTTTCGTAATAAGGGCTACAAAGTTTTTGCTTCACGTATTTTATAGATAAATATTTATAATGTTAATTTTAATTTATAATGCAAATTTGTTTTTATTAACTAAAAGAAAATCACTGTTGGTAGAGCGTTTCATGATCTCGCTTGAGTACGTGCTACCGCCCTGTTTATTTCTCCCCCGAAGATTTTATATATTTTGGGTAGAAGCTTTGAGAGCGTCGTTATACTATATAATAGAGATGGAGACTGGATCTGACCGCGACGGGGCAACGCAAAGCCACCGTCGTCCAAAACATGTCTAATCAGATTCCCTGGATTAACTTGGAATTTAGGCCCCTCAAGCACCGACCACCATCTTCGTCGAATTCGTCGATTACGACGAAGAACTCGACATGCGAACTAGTCCATGGACACAGCCCACTGAGTTTCTCGCCGGATATTTTCAGTGGGTGGCAATTTCGATCCGGTAGTAGATTCTGCGAAGCACTGCTCTTGCTAGGGCTAGTGTTTGCAAATTCTCTTAAGTTGAGCCCGTGAACTCACCTACCTGCACGTCGTAAGAATAGCCTCTTAGGCTACCAGCGATTGGGTGGGGGAAAAAGACACAGGGCATTGTGGTGCCTACGGGCTCCCGCAATTACTTAACACTAGTCACATTGAAGTCGTCGTGGCCTAAAGGATAAGACGTCCGGTGCATGCGATGCAATGGTGTTCGATTCTTGCCGGCAGGTACAAATTTTTCCAATGAAATACGTACTCAACAAATGTTTACGATTGATTTCCACGTTGTAGGAATAACATCGTGTAATAAAAATCAAACCCACAAAATTATAATCTGCGGAATTACTAGTGGTAGGACGTCTTGCGAGTCAGCACGGGTAGGTACCACCACCCTGCCTATTTCTGCCGTGAAGCAGTAATGCGTTATACTGTAAAAACTGAGACTTAGAACTCATATCTCAAGTTGGGTGGGGGCATTTACGTTGAAAATATCTGTGGGTAACCGCTTAACACCAGGTGGGTTGTGAGTTCGTCCACCCAAGGAAGCAATTAAAAAAACTGGGTGGTACCGTCTCTGCATTTGAAATATATCCGTACTTGGTTTAAAAATCTGGGAGCTAATGAAATGATTCGTTCGTGACCGAAGTCAGTCACTACAACCTCGGAAACGTATTTTTGATTCTTACTGCAGTGCGACTCTCTTAGATAACCGTTTTTATTGACGCAGTCGGGCTGGCGGGTATGAGGTTGACTTATAAAATCACGGCAGCTTTTTTATGTTGTATTTAGTGTGCTGTCTGCTAGCTGATATTATGGTGAGTGATCAGTTTTCTTTTTATTGCCCTTGTAGGCACACGAGCATAGGGCCCAGGTGATGGTGAATGGTTACCGTCGCCCATGGACTTCAACAATGCCAGGGGCAGAGCCAAGCTGCTGCCTACCGTTAAGCGCTCTCCACGAGTCTCGTTTGAAGAAGGACATGTCATAGCGTTCGGGAAACACCGTGGAGGAGAGCTCATTCCAAAGCCGGGTGGTACATGGCAAAAAAGATCTCTGTAAACGCACTGTCGATGAACGCAGTGGCTCCAGGTAGTATTGATGAACTCTACTCCGATGGCGGGCAGTGCAATGGTAAAAATGAGACGATGGTATCATCTCAAAAAAATCCTCAGAGCACTCCCCATGGAACATACGGTAAAATCTCTGTTGCTTGTCTGCGATGCCAGGGTCAGAGCGAAGTCATCTACTTCTGAAAATTCCTTTCATACCTCATTTTAGCACAATACACTATATTTAGGTAGGTAGACGTTGCATCTCTTCTCTCTCTCTCTTTCTCTTTCTCTCTTGCTATCTAGCTCTAGAATCCGCTTACTACTATCGAAGCAGGGTCTTATTTGTTCTATAACATTGACAATAATCATTGGAATACGATGTGAATTTTTAATTTAAAAAAAAATCCTATAAATGCTACGAATAGTATATGGTTTTAAAAATAAATTATGCGTATTGAAGTGAAATACGATACAGTAAAAGCTCCTTATTCACGCTTCCTTCGTTCGCGTTTTCACTATTTGCGGATTAAAAAAATGCGACCCTATTGCCATATTCGCGGCTAAAGATTTCTTTATTCGCAAGTCGATACATAGGTACATATACATTGATAGAAAGGATCCCAAAATGTAGATATCCAACCGAATATACTTTGTAAACGCACTTTTCCATTTTCACCGTTTCTGTATTCGCGGTTTATTCACGGAACATATACCCCACGAATAAGAAGCTTTCACTATAATATCTGTCATTTTAAGTTAATTAAAATTTCTTTATTGAACCAGAGGGTAGACTAGTTTCTAGTCCAATTGGTGGTTATCGAAGCCCATAGACTGCACAGAGCTTTGTGGTATGAAGTGGTGGTCTCGATTGCATTGTACAACCATCTCACCCTTCAAATCACACCGTGGTGACGCGCTGTACCCCAGGTTTTGGTAGGCAGCGGCTTGGCTCTGCCCGTGGCATTGCTGAAGTCTATGAGCGACGGTAAGCACTCACCATCAGGTGGGCTGTGTGTTCGTCTGTCTACAAGGGCAATAAAAAAATCCATACACCAGTCTGTATTCTTTTTTTCTTTTTTTGTTGATTGCTTAGGTGGGTGGACGAGCTCACAGCCCACCTGGTGTTAAGTGGTTACCTACAACGTAAATGCGCCACCCACCTTGAGATATAAGTTCTAAGGTCTCAGTATAGCTACAACGGCTGCCCCACCCTTCAAACCGAAACGCATTACTGCTTCACGGCAGAAATAGGCAGGGTGGTGGTACCTACCGTGCGGACTCACAAGAGGTTCTTACCACCAGTAAAAAATTCTGTAGATGGTACAACAATTTTAACAGACAATTCAGGATTACCGAGTTAAAGTCAAGAAAATTTACATAATTTGATACTTTTATGGTTTCCAGAATTTGTGTACTGTATCAAATATAGCTAGCTGTCCAATATACATAGGTGTGGGTGAGGGGTGAGTGTTATATTTTTGACTTTCCACTGGGGCTCTGGGGTACGGATGTCTTAGCAAGAATTAATAGCACTTAATAGAATTGTGTTTGTGGTTTTTTTATTACTCTTTGTGTGCATTTTGATTTTTAGCCGACTTCAAAAAAAGGAGAATGTTCTGAAGCGACCCTTTTTTATGTGTTTGTGTTTCAGAACTTTGTTGACGCAACAATTGGTAATTTTCTTTTTTTATTTGTAATATGGTAGCTTTTTAATATCATTAATGTAATGCGTATTTAATTGTCCTCGATTACATTAATGATATTATCATTTATTTTGTTAGTTGAAGTTCGTGTGGTGCGTTACCAGGGATCATACTACTGATAGGCTGTTAGCAGTCGTGTCTATAAGCAATGACTTCAAGGCTTCTTTTATTAATGCAGCGAAACAATGTCTGGCTCGTCAAACGAATGATTTAATTCCAAGCGTCAATTCTGATTAATGGCTTGCGAATGTGTGGTCTCGCGTGCACACACGTACACAAATATCGACCAATACGGATCCCAAATGTCCTTTAGGTTCTATTTTTAGTTATCGACCTATCTCCTCTCCTGCCTACATGAAAGTTTCAGGGCGCCGTGATTGGTGGGTCGTCGGTGACGTCAGGGCAAGCCGGGGCCCAATCACGGGGCTTCGGTCCGCGCATGTCAATACAGCCTTTTCAGGCATTACCGGCCAGCCTTGCCAGTCCGGGCAAGGTGTTCCCAAGTGTGCCAAGCTCGCCCCGCCACAAGAACGAGGTGATTTTTTCATGAAATTTATTTTAGTTTTTTAATAATTTTTTAATTCTCATTTTTGTCTTAAGGTGTAATTAGTGAGAATGTGTGCGTGAGTATAAATGTTCTAGTGTGTGAGTTTGTTATGTAATTGGTTACGTAATATGAGTGTATATTTGTGATGGTAGTGGTATGTCTGTGTGTGTGGGCGGTTTATAGTTTTGCATGAATTAGTGTATTTTTTTTTAAATTCTTTTCTCTTCTTCTTTTGACAGTATTCGTGATTCAGAAATTCTAAATAAATATTAAATTTTTAGATTTTCTTTAAATTAATATAATAAATTTAAGAGGTATAATCATGAAATAAGACCGTATTTACGTACCTTAATATGATTAGAAAAAGGATAGCTTTAGTATATTGCAAATTAAGTAAATTTTAGCACAAAAAATATTTTAAATTTCTATTTTTAAATTTGCTTCTCAAAAAAACTGCTACATAAAAAGATTTCTAAGAAAAGCACTAAATTGAATTTCGAGGAAACCGTGGTTCATCCTCAAAGAGGCTCTGAAGCTAGCTAGTCATAGCGCATAAACCGTTCTACGCTGTTTCTACCACCTACGGCACAGTTAAAATATAAGAGCATAGTTATTTTTTTGCGCAGAAAGATAGTCCAGTCCACGGCCCTGCTGATATTAAGTTGTCACACCGACATGAACGAGTTTAGGCGAGAGTTCTATTCCATTGGAGCTTTAGCAATAATTTCCATGGGACCGGAAAATGGACGGATTAAAGCTCTTAGGATAAAGCTGAAAAGGGCCTAAATGGTATCTTCGAATCAATACGCAAAAGGACCATTAAGAATCCTTTTGTAAGATCATGTGTTAATTCCGAAGCTCCCCGAAAGTACTTATCGGATTTGGAAAATACGACAGTCTTAACACTAAATAGGTATAATAGATTACCTATTAAGGTATGGGTAATATATAGTAATAGGTATAGGTAATATAATAGATACAATATGTAATAGGTAATAACCAGAGTTGAGCTAATCTTGTCAAAAATAAATTAGTTTGCTCGCAAAGACGAATACGCCAGAAATATTTGTAGGATTCTCTCGAAGTGAGGTCGGAACTAACGCCTACCTCAAAGAACATTTTTATTATACACAAAAAGTCATGAATTTCAAACAATAATAATTATAAATATTTTAAAGATTTAATTTCGCGTTTATTAATTTTATTGTAGTATTTCTAAAGTTCCGAATAGCTTGCCATACAATTTTCTATAAAGCTAGACATTTATAAATGTTGGAAGCAACGAATGAGATAGGTATTATTCCGTAATATGGCCTTAATTATATGTGCGACACGTGTAGTGCCAATTAATTATTAATAAACTAGAATATTGGCAAGCAATCTTAGAACCTAATTTCCAGACATACTTAAAGTTTGTAAGAATCAATAATAATAATAAGTGCTTTAAAACATTTATTTTATTAAATTATAAATGTAATCAATACGTCAATACCCGATGCCTCATATACCGACGTTATGATTCAAGGTAAATGGTGATATTGATTATCAAGTACAAGTTTGTTCTATATACCAAAGTAAAAGAAAACAAAAAAGCCATTTTTGCTGACTTCAAAATTAAAGTGAAACTCGATTCGCCCTATATAATTGTAATAAAAGAATGTGAATCAATGAAATCAAATTTAAGCTACTCTCAGAAGGAACATTCGGAAAAGTTACATTATTTCACACAAAATAACCGGATGTCGTAAACCGAAAGCGTTCCGGGAGCAAGATGGCGGCCGGATGTTGGGCGAGTGGTTGCTTCCGCCTGCACACATCCGGCTTCGCAGATTCTTCTGTAGATATAAGACAAAGATTTCATGAATGTTTTTTTTAGGACCGCATCGCTGTACGAGAAGAATAGAATTCCAGATGCTTTAACTATCGCATTTCCTGATTGTTACAGGCACACGGCGCACTATGGTCGAGCACTGAACCCGCAAACGATACATATCAAAACAAACACTGATCTAGTCTTTAAACATTAGGTATTTTAAACATAATTACTTATACATTTAAAACTGTAATTTAAAATCGTAATCGGCCGCGCGTCGAACTCTGACTTCAAATACAAACCTACATAGCCCCAGCGGTCAAACGAACTGCCTGTCCATACAGCACATTTGAATTTAGAACTCCAAGTTGAGTATAAAGTTAGGATTTGAAGGGTGAGGGGCAGTCGCCCCCAGGGGCTCGACCGTGGAGGCGGAGGGGGCCGCGCTGTTTGGGCGGCTGCAGGGCGCGCTGCGGGGGGGCGCCGCCGCCGCCTCGCCCTCGCGGGTCGCCAGCTCCATCAAGGGCTACCTCACCAACAAGGTCGGCTCGCTGCAGCTCAGAGACTCAGGTAAGGTTATGTTTCTAAATGTGTATTTTGAGGTCAAATTGTTTGATGAAGCAGAAATTTCATTTTGAGTCGATTCGTAAGTGTTTTCCTTATTTACTCCGATAGCTACTTATCACCAGGTGTACTGTGTGTGAGCTTGCACATTAAATATAAAGCTCTTTAAGCAAAATCTTTGCGTTTTCCAACCTGCAGACAGGCTCTTAAACTGTAAAGAGACCACTCGCAGAAACATTCGGTATTGTAACTTTGCTTCGGGAGCAGGGTCCTTGCGTCCTGTGTGCTCTGTGTGCTTAGTGCGAGTTTTTAATTATTAGCGGCAAACGAAGTGAAGCTGTTCCAACTCCATACAAATTTGAGTTAACTTTTACGTGATCGAGAACGTTAAAAAACTCGCACTAAGCACATTGGACGGAGAGGCTATTCTCTTTAGGCAAGTTAAGGTCCGGGTCAGGACCGGCACCGCATATTTTGCTCCGATTTGAAATTTAGGATGGAATGGATTATTATAGTGTTGAGACATCGACCTATGGACCTATGGATCGATGTCTCAACGGTATTTAAAGATTTTCGTAACTTATTATCAATCAATAAGCTTTAAAAGCTGTCGACAGTTATTTAGCACGGATTAGTACAAGGATAGGGACACAAGCCAGCCGATCATGAAGCTTTAAGGTGTCAGCTACAACTTGCCGATAACTACATTTAGAAGTTGAAAGAGACTTCCCAGTTGCTTCAAACTGATTCTACCCGTCTCATTGAAGACCACGTGTTTTGCGGTTAAAATAGACAAGCCGGTGGTAACAAGCTGCGTGGTCTCACAACACCCTAACACCGACAGAACATGTGCTTGCTCCCTTATATTTCTAATAACATTACAACCCTCGTATATTTAATAACATCGCTTGTACAAATATTTGGCATTCGTTAGCGTTCCGAATAAACATCAATGCTGACCTTTATCACAACGAGTTAAGGTTTAATTTGGGCATTGGTGGCTCGTTGGGGCGAGAACAATATTTGCGAAAGGAAGGTGGCTTTTTTGTTTGGAAAAATGTTTTTATTAGTATTGTATTAACTCAGGGCATTGTGATCCTGTGTCTTCTATTCAAATACTAACAAGGTTTGAAATGTGCAAATAAGTTTTTAGGTTTTTGAAAAGTGTATAAAGTTATACCTCTAACTTACCAGACCTTAAGAGGGCTAGCGGCATTCACGTTGTGATGCCTATGTGCCGGTAACCGCTTCACATTACGAGACCCATAGCTTTAATTACCAAAAGCAATGAAACATTATTTTGTACAATAACTAATTAATGATGAAAACCGGGCGACTCGCTGAGCCTATGACCTTACGCGTTGACTTTGTTATACATGACAGATTCATAATATAGAAACTTACTCATATGACTTATCGTTTTGATATGGATAAAGCGCACTAAAATCTACATTTCGGCTTCGGTACAAGATTGTTTTCTGTAATTAAATGGTCAGGCTATACATGTATATCATAAAAATATCTAATTTGTCTTAAAAATATCGTATTTCTTTATTTTGTATACGAAATCAGACATGAAAATCATACTTCGCTGTTTGTGATACAAAAACATGTTGATAATGGCAACTGATAGATGAAATAAAAAGTTTTTTTTTATTGCCCTAGTAAGCAGACTCACCGGACGGTGAGTAGTTACCGTCACCCATGGATTTCAGCACTACCAGGGGCAGAGCCAAGCCGCTGCCTAATACAACTGCCTTTTACAACTTTCCTTGAATTACCAGTGCAAATCCATCACTGGTTACAAGCCATATAGTAATGCCCCCCTCGCATATCTCCTCGCTCCAATTTGCCCGTCACAACCACACGACGAGCTTGTTACAATTCCCGATCTCTCAGATGTGGCCATAAAATGTGAGGCTGGTCGCTATATGATTTGTTAAATTGAAAATTGAAGTCAATATTATATTCACGGGATTTATTTTTATCGATCAGTATCTAATGAAAAGTTCTAACTACGCTGCCTATTCTAATTCTTCTCTCAATTGCTCTGGTCTACCCGGCTTGTTATGAGCCGGCAGTAATGCTACTTTTCTTTCTAATCCGGTCGCAAAGATTATTATGAGTTCCAGCTAAATTTAACGCGATGTGATTTGCTATGTTGAAATTAAGTCAATATTATATTCACAGGTTTTTTTTTTTATCGATCACTATCTATGGGAAAGTTCTAACTACGCCGCCTTATCTAATTCTTCTTGAATTGCTCTGGGTAGAGCTTGTTATGAGCCGGCAGTAATGCTACTTTTCTTTCTAATCCGGTCGCAAAGATGTTATGAGCTTCAGCTAAATGCCGACTCGATTCTTTTAAAACAAAAATGGTGATCCATTATAAATTAGCATAGAAGTGCCTGTGAGCTTGCGGCCCAATTTCATAGCGACTTCCCATTGCCTTTGTGAATAAATAAAAACGCTTATCTCATGGCCCACACATAAGCGACATCGATTGTGGAATTTGTCAAGCAAACTTAGTTACGTCGGGAAACCATTATAATTGAATCTATTGTCTCCACTTTGATATTCTGTTGTTACGTAATTTTGTGTTTAGCTTCGAGAACATTCCTTGAATTTTATAAATTACAAGTTTCCAAGCCGCGAGCTTCGATCAGAGCTTAGGTGATGCCTGCCCCTAAAGCTTTATCGAGCCAATAAGCACGAAGTTTCCCACACATCATGCCCTTCCGTTTGTACTGGCAATCAGCTTAGTTTATGGGATGGGGCGTATTGGAATTCCGTAGACATAGCACCATACTATTATTTTGATCCCAGATATAGATTCTCGTTTAACGGGTCATAAAAGCTGCTATGCAATATAACTGACATTTAGAACTAACCACTTAATAACAGGTGGGCTATAATTAAGCCTGTCCATCGTTAGCAATAACGAAAAATAGAAGTAATTTGTACTTCGACCACATAACTCATGTTGTGATGTATTTTTATTCAAATAAGTTTGGGTTTTTTTTCTTGCTTAGATGGGTGGACGAGCTCACAGCCCACCTGGTGTTAAGTGGTTACTGGAGCCCATAGACATCTACAACGTAAATGCGCCACCCACCTTGAGGTATAAGTTCTAAGGTCTCAAGTATAGTTACAATGGCTGCCCCACCCTTCAAACCGAAACGCATTACTGTTTCACGGCAGAAATAGACTGGGTGGTGGTACCTACCCGCGCGGACTCACAAGGGGTCCTACCACCAGTAAACCAGGTTTTCGATGTATGTCAATTGGCCTACTATGCTATATATGTAGCTGGAACTTAAGCCTCCTGTCCCAAAATAGATGGCGGCATTGTGTTTATTATCGGATTCGGTAACCACTTAACACCAGATGGGCTGTGAGCTCGTCCACTCAACTAAGCAATAAAAAAAATAGCACTGGGTGAGCCATGACCACGCCCACCCGTCTAAGCTAAAACAAAAAGATGCATGGTAAAAATAATAATAATTTACATTGATTATAACAGTGTAATTACTGAGCGCCTCCACTCCGGTTCAGTAATTGCATCAATTAGCCCCAATTCGAGCCCCGCTCCGGTTACAGACGTTAACCCATCGACTAATAGACTCGAAACATATAAATCAGATTAATATTTTCCCTTCTTCCACGAAAACGTTGTTAAAACCACGTCTAAAGACAATAAACGGTTTTTAACTAACTACTTTTGGCGGTTTTACTTATATGACGGTACATTAAATTAATTGAATTAAATTAATAGTTAAAATCATTATATTCTCCAAGCTTCGATATTCTCCTGTTTTATTTTTATTTGAAAATTTTCATTACAAGTATACATACCACAACCCGGATACCAAACATATTTACCAAAAATACTGACATTGACTTTCACTACTAAGCTTCAAGCGATGAAGCAACGAATGCAAGATTAGATAATAAACATGTGTCTAATTAGACCCCATGTTACCCTATCAACCACGCTGGCATCAACCCCTTTGAGATAATTTGAAGTAGAAATCTCGAATGCTCCAGAATAAGGACTATCTTACCCTTGACAACAAAGCTGACAACTGCTTCTCGACAGATAAAGTATAGTGACGGCATCGACCTATTTAGACAAACCCATCTTAAAATCTATCATACCTAACATTTTCAATCCGAAACATAACAAACAAAATAACCCTGAAATATAAATCCAACGAGTATTATGTAAGAGAAATACAATTTTAGAAATGCCCTAAGGCTTTCGTGCACCAGAAGTTTCCACAGCGTGGGGTGGGAGCCCCCTCGTCATGAATATTTGATGGGTAGCGCCGCGGCGCGGAGCAAAGTCGAAACTTTTGTCCTATGCTAATATAATGTGGCAGGTGACGTGAAAGAAACGAATGTAGGTTTGAAACGTGAGGCAGTTTGATAGAAGGTATCTTAAAATACGCGCAGCTAGCTGTGTGTTATGTGTTTTTCGTTTTGTTGAAACTTCTGAACGTGACGGGTTTTCATTGTTGATCAAGACAGGAAATCTTGTTAGCGATAATGTTTTCATTGGTGGTAGGACCTCTTGGGATTCCGCACGGGTAGGTAACACCACCCCGCCTATTTCCGCCGTGAAGCAGTAATGCGTTTCGGTTGGGAGGGTGGGGTAGCCGTTGTAACTATACTGAGACCTTAGAACTTATATCTCGAGGTGGGTGGCGCATTTACGTTGTAGATGTCTATGGGCTCCAGTAACCACTTAACACCAGGTGGGCTGTGAGCTCACCCATCCATCTAAGCAATAAATAAAAAATAAAAAAAATGTATATTGGTACAGTCTATACTCTACTCCAATTATTAACCAATAATAGGGTACTTTAATGAACTGCTAATTAGGTCTAAGTACAAATAAATCCTAATCGTTAATCGATTATTTGGTACTTGGATATCTTAATCTAGAACTGATTATTTAAAAGTGATCTATCAAAACGCACTATCCGGTATTAGCGACGAATTTC